GAAGACCCAGGTACTTCAACTATATATTACATATTACTAATACACAAAAAATCAAGACAGCATCAATAATGGGATATGTTATACTTTTTCAGACTCTCAGTCCAGAAGGCCTTTTCCTTCAACAACCATTACAGAAGTATTGTTTCTTAAAATTAATAAAATTCACATTAATAGTAACATTTTCTTCTCAATTTTCAATAATTTTCCAATTTTTTTTTTGTCTGATGTATAGGGTGACCTAAATGGGGAAAACCTTCATTATGCAGCATTGAGGACGAGGAGATTAACAGACAAGAAGAGCAGCAGATCAACAATGCAAAGAAATGAAACATCTGAGTGTGTGTACTCCTCTGTACAGATGTAAATGCGGATAATTTCCCATCAATTAGTACAACCAAGATGTGATTTTGTAAATCGGAGCTGAAAGACCATTGCCTTCTTTCTTTTCTTTAACTCTGTGCTATTTGTATTTGACTCTTTACTTATTTTGATGGTAAAATGTTTGAGCTAGATTATCATTGTTGTTCTTTGCAGACATTTTTAAAGACAATTATCTTTACTATGGTAGTACACTTTAAGTTGTCTGCCTCTGACTTCTCATCAAAGAATTAAATTTACCACCAAAAAAAGAAAAGCATGCTACGTTGTTATGTGATCTCCTGGATTTGCGAAGCACATTGTGACCCACACACTTCGCCACAGACCCACTTCTGTGACCTAAATCGCTGAATGTCTGAGGTCATAACCAATCTTAGAAATTACATTGCTCCATAATGGCCCTCACCAAAAAACAAACTTTTAAAAATAACTCTGATACTGGAACATGAAATGATTGTAAGCAAAAGGTGTGATTTATTTTTATTTTTTTTTTTAAGCAACCAACTAAACAACAGTTTCCAGCTTAATTATACTGCTAATCCAGTATAATTACTTGATTTACCTACAGTATTTCTTGGTTTACCTACAGTACACAAGTGACTTTTATAGCTTCATTTTATACTGATAGAAAACAGTTCAAAAACTGAGACCCAGGTTAAAACAAAATGATTAATTTCTCTTATTTTACATTATTGTGGCTCACAGTAAAGTTTCTCTGAAAATTAAAATGGATGGACCATTTAAAATGCTATATATGTGTGTCATTTTTGATGCACTCCCATTCAGTAGAGTCCACCTGCTTGGAGATAAATAAGGGCCTGGCATTCACAGTGTTCTGCTCCATCTAGACCAGGTAAGTTGTTTTTTCAGGGACTTGCTTAATTTATTTCTGTTTCATTGTTGTTGACTTCTTATGTCAAAAGGCCAACTGATTCCCTGGGAAAAGAAACTTCAGTGCTGTGTGAGCGCCTCCTAGTGGTCAAAAACTGATCAGTAGAACTGAGTCAGAAAGGAAGTCATGCTGAAAACCCTCCATTTTAGTTTCAAGCATCCAGTGTAGAGAGGTGAATGAAGCGTCTATGTAGCGTATCGTGAGATTAAATCTGATGAAAAACAGAGTCTCACACGACACCAATGACTGTCAGGCTTTTTTGTGCAAAGAGTCAAGTGGTCTGCAGTGGGAGGAGAGAAATGTGCAGGAGTGTTTGACAGGAAGAGACAGCGCAGTGTGGTCTGAGCACATCTGAGGTGAGCGTCGCACGACCTCATGCATCGACTCTTTTCAGACAATTATGAAAACATCACAGCTATGATCAGATCAGAGCTGCAGCTGCATGTCAGCGTACTTAGTTTGATTTAAAAAATGTATCATACACAAAACATCGTAGTGAGATTAAAAAACAACAACAAAAAAACAACTTGTATGCATTGAAAACAAAAATCAACCACAGACCACACCCTTCAGACAGGACCAACACTGTCGCCGTGGGAACGTGTTTCAGCTGAGAGGTGCTGTGATCTTGTGTGTGAATTTTGGTGAGGGAGCCGTGCACAGCAGCTGAACAACAACATGACACCACATATGCAGTAAAATGAACACTAACAATGACATCTATGGTCTTTGTGTTCTTGGGTTTTCTCCATCTTGGAGGCTACGCTACAAACAGCTCTAACAGCAACACATCTCAAACTGCAAAACGCTTCAGATTTATAGTTTTCTTCACATCATGACTTCCTTTAACAATACAGTCTAATTTGGTTCAGAGTATTTTGCTTCTGTAGTGGCTGATCACATCAAAACACTTTTCAAAGGAAAAAACTGACAAGATTCAAATTATTTATATTTAAATAATTAATAATGTTACCAACTGTTTGATTTCTTCCAATTAAAATGTGACTCCCAAGAAAAGTGTCAGACATTTTAGTAAAGAATCTATGCATCAACGTTTATGAGTGTGAAAATCACAGATTAGTGATGCACGGATATCGGATATTTGGTCAATATCCGATATGCCGATATATTATACCTCGTTTGGCCGATAACTGATAACCGATACCAATACCGATAGTTTTCCCTATATCTACTTACTGAAACCATATGTCTTTCTCTACTGTGGAATTAAAATGCTGCATAATCTTTGTCAATTTAGCCTGCTACTAAATGCAAATGCTAAAATGGAGTCGGAAAATTATGTAACACTTTCAACTTCATACCAGAAGCTGTGCGACTCTTAAACTCCCATCATTCTCCCTTATTGCACTGCTCTTAGCTATACACTTTTCCTACTTGTAATATTGTGCTCTTGCAGCGATTTTATATTTTATACTTTTATATTTATATTTTTATATTTGGATGTAACTGGGGCTGTGACTCTCAATTTCGTTCCACCTCATGTGATACGTGATGTGAATGACAATAAAGTATCTTGAATCTTGAATCTTGAAACTTGCATTATGTTTAATGTCAAATTTATTCATTTGCTCTCTCTAAGACAATGACAACACTGCTTGCGTCATTGTCAGTGGTGTGTCTTATAAGGACGACTTTTATATTGTTGAGTTATTCTGACGCAATGGCCGATGTCCGATATTACATTTTACAGCTAATATCGGCCGATAATATTACGCATTCCAAACACAGACTGTTATCCAGCTATGACACATTAAAAAAAAAAAAAAATCTCTTTATTTTATCTGCTGGACTTCTGAAGGCAAACTGTTTCATGATTGGTGGAATAAGATGAGTTGCACAAAGGGAGCAACAGAATCAGCTTATTTAACGAGGAGAAGCCGCATGTGACACAGATGATGCAACCACTTATAATGAGTCATAAACGGGCGGAGATGAATGTCGCTTCTCAGGAAGAGGCAGCACAATGTGAGAGAGGACAACTGAAAGCTGCTGGTCTCTCTACCTTCAGCATGAAAGGCCTCAAACTGAGCAGACATGTTGGACTTAACTTTCCTTTTTTTTAAAAATGAGAATAACATCAAAATGTGTGTTTCTGCAAAGGAGTTGAAGTGAAATAAAACAGCAGCGAGATGTGTGTTGTTTAATGTGTTGGTTTCTAACAAGCAGGTCTGATAGTCCCTCCCCAGTTTCCACTGCGGTGACATTTAGCCACAGAGAGACTAGCCTTCAGCGCTGCACCAAAACCACAGGTGGCAAAAGCTTCACTGCTTTCACATCAAGAGATTTGATCTTCTCTTTTAAAGTGTGTTTAGTGGGCCTCGGGGAAGGCCTTGAAAAACTTGCAGAAAAATGTCTTCCTTGCTGCTGAAACTCACCAAACAAGAGCAGCAATATGGCAGAATCAAAAAGCGCAAAGCCTCAGTTACTGTCCTTTCATAACGTTTCATTAGTGATGTTGGGGCGTGTTCCTCTCGGTGATGTGTGTTTAGGTCATGAAAGATGGTAGTGGGAAAAGATGCTAAGTGAACTACACTAAGACAGTGTGGGTCTAGGGTAGTTAAACATTGTTTAAAAAATTTTAAAATTCATGTGTGGCACATTTTGTAATGTTACAACCATAAACTTCCATTTATTTTATTTTATTGGGAATTTATGTAATAGACAAACACAAAATAGTACACAATCAAGATTGAGCAAAGATGTTTTTTATTATTATTATCAAAAGCATTTTTGCTATAAGAGACACAAAAACACAATACAAGTAGATCATGAAATGACTCATGACAATAATAGAGCATTATTGTTCCTTAGCTGCTGTTATTAATATTGAGAGAGCCTATCTGGTGGCAGCATACAGCACATTTGGATCCGTCTCTCTCTCTGCAGGCCTTCTGTTCCTGTTTGCTTTGGGTCTGAAATTCAGCGCTGCGTAGTTCACAGGATCAGACTCAAGATTCTACAAAACAAGAAATGACTTACAGCAACTCAGCGAGTTTTAGGATTGGGTGAATTAAAAAAAAAAATCACCTCATTGTGTTGTCGATTCTGTCTGTTGGTTTGACCTGAAAAACAGAGACACTGAAGCTGGCAAACTGTTTGAACATTTTTCATTGTGTCATTTCACATTATGAAGTTGGTCGAGAAGAAAATACAGATAAAAATACAACCACAAAATACCTTTATGACAAGGTCTGGTTTTCAAAACCAGTCCCAGGATGATTATGACCAGGGAAAAAAACACACCTCCCAGAATGACAGTGGGCAGGTTCTTGGCTACATCCAATCCATCTACAACCGAGACAAAGACATATAATGTGAACTCAATCCATTATAATAAAGACGTTTCCAGGTCAACTTGCCCCTGGAAGTTGACTGACACAAACTCCCCTTTACTTTTATTTCACACCTGTAAACCAACCAATTTAATCTACTCGCATGAATGGCAGTATAACTGTTAATATCTGTTGTAGAGACATATTTTCAGAAATTATAGAGATAAATTGTCATAAATAGACTGTATGTTTTTAACAGCATTCTTTTGGAAAACGTTATTTTATTTCCTACTTCCATTGATTTTGGTTCTGATGCAGATGTGGGCCCAGTGATTAAAGTAAAAACAAATTAGCTCTACTGACCTATAAGAGGTAGATATTATTTACTTGCATCACGTTACCTAGACTACAAGTAGGTCATAGAAAAGTATTATAAATTCACCTTTGGATTAAGTTAAAATGTATTATAAATAGATATTTGAATATAAAATTCATTTTTTGGGCCAGTGTTCTGATTTTGTTGAGAAAGCAGGAACTTTCTCGATCAAAAACTGCACATTCAAAAAATGACGGAACAAAACCATGAAGAAAATAAATGTATAAACAATACTGGAGAGACCGTTCACTGAGGAAACATTCTTACCTTTAACTTGAAAATATGTTCCACTGACGATTCTATAATTTTTCTCAGATTTTAATCCACAGATATAAACGTCATAATAGAAACTCTCTTACCTTCAACTTGTAAATATGTTTCACTGAAGATTTTCAGACAGCTTGGTGACTTGGTTCCACAGATATAAACTCCAGAATCTGAAAAATTTACTTGTTTGATGTTCAGAAAGAAGTTTGTGATGTTTGACGTCATGTTGAATTTCTCACGTTGAAATTCATCATATAGACGAGCTTCAGATCCAGCTGTAGAGATCGATGAGATACGGCTGACGTTGAGTCCGGGGATCAGTTTATACCAGAATATGTGTTCGAAAATCTTGCTTAAGTTGGGGCACAGCAGAGCGACGTCTTCACCAGGCTGAACCAGAACTGAGTGAAACTCAAACTCTGACTTAGTGATCCAACCTGAAACATTCACAAAGATCAACTTTCTTGTCCATTCTGAAGAGAAATGGTAAATGTTGAGAAAACCATATGTAGCTGTACTTACTGAAGGTGAAGAGGAAAACCAGTACCATGTTGATGTTCATCATTGTGCTCAGTTAGAGCAATAAACTGTGTGTCAGTTCTACAGAGCCTTCAACATGGAGGTGGAGTTTTCTTTGTGTCCGTTTCCTCAAACTGACGACGAGAATCATTTTAATAGAACAAAACCATTATTGGTTGTAAAGAGCATCATCATGAATAACACACGCAGCGCTCTTTCAAGTTGGAGAATCTGCAAGAGCTCAAAAAGCTTAAGAGCTTTGATATGATTTGAGTGTGTGCCGCCATGCATGAAGCATGTGTTACCCATCGGTGTGTGTTACATATCAGAAGAGGTGCCTCGAGAAGTAGGAAAAAAGTTACTCAAGTAAATAGTTGTGTTACTTCAAACTACAAAATACAGGGCCATAAAAAATGACAGTGAAGTACTTTTTCATCTTAATCAACTAAAGCTGAAAGCTTAAATATGAAAAAAATGAAGTTGTCATGAGAAGATCACAGATCAAGGTCATTGATCTGTTTCAGGTCAACGTTGTTGCATTTGGAAATTTATTCACAATTACCAAAAATGCAGATAGAGGACTTATTTTATTCATGTGAATAATATATGTCCAGTAGCCCCCCAAGGGGGGCTACTGTCCCCCTGCTAAGTCAAAATGGACATCTTCCTATTGCACCTCCAGATCATGAGGTTAGACATTTTCTGTCAGTGCTGTTTTAAAAACTGTTGACTGGTGAAAGTGAAAGTCAGCAGAAACCCATTAAAAGTGAAGAGCAGTGGTATCGTGGTGACAGGATTAAAGCACCACCGTGTATAGAGGCCTTAGTCCTTGACGCGGCTCATTACCCACTTTAGTATCTGATCAGGCTCTAATAAAGGCCACTAAAGCCAATGAAACCTTTTATTTCTTTTTTTTAAGTGAAGAACGAGAAAGTATTGTCTGGCTACCAGTTTCTAAATGACCTCCTGTACTGTTGTAATACAAAGAACAATCATAATGTGTTCCTCATCTCTTTTGTAGATTATAACAATGGTTCTGTCATAACATTGGTCAGCTGGTCTCACACCAGAGAAACACCCTGACAGTGTCATAAAACCACAGGAGGTCGATCCGTGATGCTCAGAACCAGTTGCTGTTACTTTCCCAGAACTTGTCATGATTACAGTTTTCTACTTTAACACCTAACAGACAGCTCCCTTTTCTTACCAAGAGGCAAATGTCATGACTGTCTGTGGAGAGCTCCATAAACGTCTTAACAATCATAACAATCCATAACTTCACACCAACAGTTCAAACAATCCTTTCTTCTCAAACAGTGGTAACTTTATAAGATCTACTGACCAGAACCAATAAAAGGCAGACAGAATGAACCACCAGCTGGAGCCGACTCTTGACTCTGGAGTTTTGTTCTCACTTTGCAAGGTTTTAAAAAATTGCTTACTGTTTCTCGTTCAGACTCTTGGTAAATGATTTCCCAACCCATGGCAATCATACACCCAATATTTGTTTTGACTCAGTTATAATTTCTTTAATGAAACGACGCTTGTTTGTTCCAGAAAAGTCTAACTCAGTCTGAACAGCCATCAGTCTGACATAAAAACATTCATCATATTTTTTCTTTGAGAAATAACAGAGAAAAGGAAAAGTTTATTTGTTGTGTAAACAGTTTATTTACTTTTTTTTTAACAATTACTGCAGAAGAGCCACTGAGTAGATGTTAGGCTAACATGAAATAATAATAAAGCATTATTTTGACTCTGAGCTGATGTTAATATTACTATGTCTGCCTTGTGTAGGGTGACCAAATGTCCTCTTTTTCCTGACGTGTCCACTTTTCACGTTCTGTCCGGTGGACGTTCAAAGATTGATGAAAATGTCAGGATTTTCAGGGAACCAGAAGACTGAACACGACAGACTTTATTTCATTTTTTTTACAAAGCGTAAGTATAACTTTATGAACAAACCAGACTATAAATATCCTTCAAACCGTCCCAGTGGCATCATGTGGGTGGCAGGATTTTCTGCGCACGAAGATGGTGTGTGTTTCTGTGTGTGACAAAGGTCCCAAAGATTCTACAGGCTGCATGAACACAAAAAAACTCAAAAAAAAAAAAAGCTTTGCAAAATGAGAGTTTATTTATTATGTTGACTGAGGAAGAATGAAGAAGAAAGTTGAAGATTGGAAAACACTTTTCCAATCTTCCAAGTGTCACAAAGACACTTTTTTTAGTGTCTTTGTGAGACTGATACTTTTAATTTCAACTATGACTTCATATATAATCTCAGATTTTTGTGTAATTTTTGTTCTCTAAGCTACATTAGAGTAATTATTAGAGACCCTGACACTAATATCCAATATTAATTCTGCTGTTATTCTGTTATTGCAGTATTTACCAATATTTACAAGTATCATATTTCATATGACTTTGTATAAAAAACATCTACAATGCCTGCTTTGCTTCTCCACTTCAGTTAAACATCACATTGTCGCTGCATCACTGTCATATAAAAACAGACCACAGAACCAAACCTTCACACAACCAGCAGCAAAATGGAAATAAACATTAGTTATTAATATTTGTCCTGTTTTACTTATGAGGCTGATACAGATATGTAAAAAGAAATACCAATGTTGATACAGATATATTGTGTTTATTTCAATGCTTCTTTTCCCCAGTCATTTTTATACTTGTTAACGTGGGAAAGTCTGAAGTTCATTTATTCAGTTATACTTTCTAACCACTAAAACACACTTTATGTTAAGATCAAAGGTCTTCTGTAAACAGAGAATGATTAAAATCCTTCAGGAATGAAACAATTGTCATTTTTGAGGAAATCAAAATAATATGTGTCGTCCTATCTGGTGGCGGCGTACAGCACACTGGCCTCCGTCTCTCTCACTTCAGAAAGCTGGGTGTTGCTGTTTGCTTTGGGTCTGAATTTCAGGGCAGCGTAGTTCTCAGCGTTTGAGTCCAGGTTCTGGAACAAGAAAGGATTTACAGTGTGTAAGTTTTAGGTTAAATTTAGAACATTGATTTAATCTTTGCATCAGTACCTCATTTTGTTGTCGATGCTGTTTGTTGGTCTGAGCTGAAAAACAGAAACTCTTCTGTTTACATCACTTATTTATTTTAATTTGATTGCAAAAAAGAGACAAAAGAAGGAGACGACAACAAAATACCGTTATGAAAAGTCCTGATTTTCCAAACCAGGCCCACGATGACGGCAGCAAGGAGAATCACTAAACCTCCTAGAGTCACAGTGAGCAGTTTGATGAATCCATCCAGTCCATCTACAGCAGAGACATTGATACTGATTTTTAATGATCAACTTCTTTGTACAAACATCTTATTCCATCTACTTCTATTTCACAAATATGAACTAATCATGTTGTACGCATTCACCTAATCAATAGAATAGAAAAGAAAAAGAATAGAAATATCTTTTATTGTCCCTCAGTGGAGAAATTTGGTTGTAACAGCAGCAAATCAAGGGTAATAATAATAATAATAATAATAATAATAATAATAATATTGTAATAATATAATATTATTATTATACCATGATGATGATGATGATGATGATGATGATTATTATTATTATTATTATTATTATTATTATTATTATTATTATTATTATTATTATTATTATCATTAACAATATTATTAATGCAAAACAAGAGAGTGTTAAGAAAATGCAAATTCACATCAATGAAAAGTTCAACTACATAGGATAGTAAAAAAATCCACATCTACAGTTTATAACAGTTTGATATCCTGTGTATAAAAGTATTTTTCAGGATAATTTGTCATAAAACTTCAGATCTTGTATCTAATTTATTTCTATATTCCTTTTGAAAACATTTTATTCTTTATCATTTAGATTATTTCAACTTACCTTGCTCTGATTTTGGGTCTGATCCACATTTGGCTCCTGTAAAATCTAGCAGATTAGGTCATTAGCTGGAGATAAAGCCACATTAATTAGGTGGATTTTATTTGGCCGGTCATGCAGGAGATTTTTGAAAACTATTCTAAATCATCTGTTGACAAAGCGAGAACATCGTAGGTTCAAATCTGCGCAATGACAAACCTCAAAAACATAGACAAGTATATGGATGCAAAAACATTACAGTAGCACTGACTACCAGTCATAATAGAAACTCTCTTACCTTCAACTTGTAAATATGTTTCACTGAAGATTTTCAGACAGCTTGGTGACTTGGTTCCACAGATATAAACTCCAGAATCTGAGAAATTCACTTGTTTGATGCTCAGAAAAATGTTTGTGATGTTTGACATCATGTCGAATTTCTCACGTTGAAATTCATCATAAAGACGAGCTACAGATCCAGGATAAATGATTGATGAGATACTGCTGACGTTGGGTCCATCAATCAGTTTGTACCAGAATATGTGTTCAACAACGTTGGTGAAGTTGGGGCACAGCAGAGTGACGTCTTCACCAGGCTGAACCAGAACTGAGTGAAACTCAAAATCTGACTTAGTGATCCAACCTGAAACATTCACAAAGATCAACTTTAAAACATAAAACAACTCTGGATGATAGAAGTCAATTTGTTGTCCATTCTGAAGAGACTGAGGTACTTACTGAAGGTGAAGAGGAAAACCAGTACCACGTTGATGTTCATCATCGTGTGCTCAACATGGCTCACTTAGAGCAATAAACTGATTTCAACATGGAGGTGGAGTTTACTTTGTGTTTTCCGTTTTCTCAAACTGACGATGAGAATCATTTTAATAAAACAGGAGAAACAGCAATGACTGGTTGTAAAGAACTGAAAGTAATTCTATCAAGTCAAATAACACAATACAATTTATTCAGAAACATGTTGAGCGTTCACAAAGCACTGAATAAGGTAACAAGTCCTGCAGATAAATGAAAGATTTGTCTGCAGTCGTTTTGATGCTCTTTGTTTCCTTTCATGTCTCACAATCTGCTACCTTTAACACAGGAAAAGCTTTGATATGAGCCAATGTGTGTGTTGCCACGCATGATATGTGTGTGGGGGTGTGTGTGTGCGTGTGTGTGTGTGTGTTTGCCCCACAGGCTGGTGAATCTGTTGCACACATTTAACTATGTGTCTGTTCTTCAGGAGAAGCTGGTAGAAAAGCCAAACATTTTCTTCTTTTCGCTGTAAAGTGTTATAAGTTATTTCGGTAAATATAAGAGAAATTAGCAGTCTTTCTCTGAGTGGCTAAATTCTCTGATGTTTCTCATTTGTCTGGAAAACTTTGACGCAGTTTCTGGTTTTTGTGCAGTGGAGAGCCACCACTTGTCAGTTTAAATATTCAGCCTCAACCATCCAACCCTCATAAAACAGGAGTAGACTTAATTTAAGTTTTGTGGAATATTTTACCATTTATCATAATATCATTTGCACAGGAATGTAAAGAACAGGAATATCAGGTCATCTTCCGTTCCATCAATACACAGCAAACGTCAGGGTCAAAGTTCAGATTCATTCACAGTGAAAAAAATCCCACTCAACTTCATGCTTTGACCCGTGTTCACATTGCTGTCCAGAACAAATTCAGTTTGGGTAAATTTTATTATATTTTTATGTGTTTTTTTTCTTAAAAGCAAACTCAAAACTTACCAGTTCTCTCAAGCTTTAAGTGTCACCCATGCACATTTTTTAAAACATAGTTCTTTTGATCTTATATAAGTCCATTTGTTGATTGTACACTTGGTCTTGCTTTAAATCTCTAAGCAGTTTCTTTTTACCAGCTTGAATTGTTGGGTTTCATTATTTCTCAAACTATTTTGAACATTTTTTGTTCCCTTGCTTAATATAAGGAACAAAAACAATCACAAAATCCTAGAGACAGCAGTCATTTGACATGTTTTGTTCCTTTGCTCGTACCTCAGATTGGCTAGCTGAACACTAACACCTGATGTGTCAAACTCAAGGCCCAAGGGCCAAATCTGGTCCACTGTACCTTTTTAGACTCCAAATGACATCAATAGGTTCCTCCAGTTTTTCCACAAATCTGCAAAACTGATGCAAAATCAACAAATCCCCACTTTTATATTCTTATTTCACTACACTTTTTTCTTAAAATTGGCCAGAAACATTGGGTTTAAGTGACTGCTGCCTCAGCCGTGCTTGATGTCAAGTGCGGCGATTTAAAAAAAGTCACATTTAACACTATATATTAACACAAATATCATAAATATTCATTCCAAATATTTCTATATTAGAGCCACAAAGTCTGTGATTTTGATTGGAAAAACACAAAAACAATCACAAAATCCTAGTGACACCAGTCACTTAAACTCAATGTTTATGGCCAATTTTGAGAAAAAGTTGCAGTGAAATCAGAAAAAAAAGCGTTTATCTCTTGATTTTGTGTGAATTCTGCAGATTTGTGAAAAACTGGATGAACTTATTGATGTCATTTGGAGTCTAGAGGGCCACATAAAAAGCTATGTGGGTCATGTTTTGCCTTTAGTTTGACA